TTAGGTGCGCGTTAACGAGCAGCAGATGGTCAAATTTTCCGGAGCCCTCCTTTACGGCGTTTCATATAATCATATGGAGGTTTTGAGACGTTACACCCCGAATATTGTTATAGCATTCTATTTCGTACACTAAGTGGTGTACGGCTGGGCACTACACTGATGTAGACTATCTTAGCTCAACGTGAAATGGCCTCTATTTAGGTATTTTATTAACACGTTTCGAGAAGTGCCCACTTAGCACTGCACTGATGTACGATATCTTCGCTAAACGCGGAAGGGCCTGTACTTTGGTATTTTATTAACACGTTTCGAGAAGTGCCCAGACTTGACGTCAAACTTGCCATAATTCTGTCTGGGGATGTCCTTACGCAACCGTGAAAATTCCCACTCATGGACACTTTTGAAGCTTCGAATGACGACGCAAATTCGTTCCATCTTCTGCTCGACCAGGCCCAGCGAGTTAGCAACGTAGCTGCTTATGGGTAACATAGTGACTAACGGAAGGATCGAAAAAGAACGCTCGGCCGAGATCTGCGGTTGCGGCGCTGCTACTGACGCACACGGTGTGGGAGAGTTAGTGGCGATCACGCGGTTTAAAGGATGGAGCGCACGCTTTCACTTATCGTTATTCGTAACCAGTTTTACTCGGAGCTGGAAGAATGAACTGAAAGTAATGAGGGCCAGTTCTTTGCTTTCTTTAATCTCATAGTTAATGAGTTTTTTCGTTATTTTCTTTGTCCATATTTACAATGATTATTCAAGGCTGTGCTTGAGAGAACACTTTTCTTTTGTGTTTTTCGTCTATAACAGCTACACATACGGAAACTGACACATTAACTCATTTAAGAAATACGCAACTCATGATCACTTCTCCTCCTTGGGCATGTGCGGCATCATTAGGTTAAAAAAAATTATCGCATCACCACCACACAAACGTGAACATTGCGAGCAGTTGCGAACACCGACCCTGCACGTCCGCAGGCATAGCTTCACTCCCGTGACCTCGAGAAAGAAAGAAAAGCATGCGGTCGTCTCCATCGATGGATAAGGTACTGCTGCTGCGACGCAGTCGCCCCCAGAGCAGCTACACCATCGACACGCCCAGCTGGGGGGAGAAGAGCCGCTTCCACTCCTTCCGCAACAACCTCTGCGTCGGTAACCGTAACGTCACCATCGCGCTCTTCGGCTTCCTCGGTGCCATCTTGGCCGTCGCCGGCGCATTAGCCTACGTTCACAGCGGGGGCCACGGAGTCTACGAGCCCCTCGTGAACGACTACGAAGCCGCCACCGCCACATCCGCTTTGATCGTCGTGGCGCCCGACGCCCTGGCCAGCCGGCGGTCGTCGCCTTCTCCGCACAAGCCGGCCGCTGCGCCCTTCCTGATCACCAAGAAGCCTTCGACACGGAGGCACCGCCCAGTTGCCCGTATGGACCGACGCTCGCCGAGACGGACACCTAAGAATCAGCTAAGAGAGCGAGGCATCGCCGCGCCGGCCACTGGACACTCTCGAAGGCGCGAGAAAGCGACGATGGCCGTAGCTGGGCGCGCAGCGATGACCATGGTCACAGAGCAAGAAGAAACGGGGATAGCGAGCACGGAGGAAGAGCGAAAGAAGCGGCAGCAACGGCTGCAACAGCAAACGCGGTCGCCGCAGAGTCTCGCTGAAGACGAGGACGAAGTGGAAGACAAGGTGGCGGCGTCGGCGCCCCTGCCGAAGCACCTGGTTCCGCGACACTACAGCGTGCTGCTTCATCCGCACAACGACGGCTCGCGATTCGTCTTCACCGGCGTGGTCAAGATCAACGTCAAGTGTGTCGAAAGTACCCGCCAGGTTGTGCTGCACGCCACTGGAATTCAGGTGAGAGTTGCTCTGACTATTCTTGCAGCTGCTCATTGCTCTGTACTCTTTACGAGGTTTCTACGATGACCACAGGCGTGAGCACGGGGGGGCAGCCCTTTTGATAAAGCTAGAAGGATGGAGCGCAGTCTCCCGCTACACTCACTCACTTATGGCCACGTAAGCTTTTGGCGATAATAACGGCTGAAGGCCCCTGATGTTGCATTCCAGGAATCAGGGGGGGGGGGGGGTAGGTTCAACCATAACTTCTGTATTTTCTGGCTTTCCTTTGTAAGCAGACGTGTACATATGCTCAGGCGAACTTAAAAAATTTTAAGGGGTTTAAACTCCCTAGGGGTTTAAACTCCCCCCCCCAAAAAAAAAAGAAGTTCTGGCTACGGTCCTCATTGGGAAGATTCAAAAGCTTTCGCATTTGCATTCTCCTTCCCTTCTCCCTCTCTCCCCTCCTTGGTAACGCCACTGTCAGGAATGTATACTCCCCATCTGTGCTTCAGGAATCCAGGGAGCAAAGGTGTGCTGTTGTCAGAGCAACATCATCGCTTCATTTCAGTCTTTGTGTGTTCATTATGAAGTACGTTTGCTTTTGTACTTATGTAAATAATAGGGAGGGGGCTGTAATGATACTCGCCTTCCCCCTTTAAAGGGGAACTCTGGAACACAGTGCACGCCTATGATGATGACTACGGCGCGGCAATAACGTCACACTGGGGGTGAGGTACTGGCCACAGATAACAGTGGTCTGTTCGAATTTATATGCAGCATTAAAGTTATCGATTCATGCAGTCCTGTTACTAGCAGAACTACTTCATCCTGCAGACGTGCCGTTTGTACGTGTAACGTAGCGCATAAAAGACCCGTACAGAAAAAGGAATCCATGTGCGCCTTTGTTTATCGCTCCTGTCTGCTTTTATTACGTGTTATGTTACACGTCCCATTATAACCGTTTATGTGTAACACAAGTCTTCCGTTCCTGGCGCCACAGATGCCACCTACGCTTTATAACCTTTGCCTGTGAGTACAAACTATGTCATTCAAATAAAACGCAGCTCTCACACAAAAGGCAAAAAAAGCACGCACACAGGCCCAGTATGTCATTTCTTCCTTTTGTACGTCTCACTTTGGACCGACAAGCAGTGCTTAATTAACAGACACTGCCAATGTCTCACTGAAGTGTCTCACTGACTGTGTCTCACAGTGTCTCACTGAAGTGTCTCACTGAAATAAGGCATTTAGCTTACGCTAAATGCGATTCAGCCCGGCCTTAGAACTTCGGGTGCTTGTGGCACATATAGCGAAGTTCCTTGTCGTTGTTCACCTGCGCAGGTGAACAACGCGAAAGTGTCGTTCAACGCCGTGGCGGCCAACAGGAGCGCAGTTCACGAAATCCCAGTGCGGCGCGTCGACTTGAACAACAGCACTCAGCAGGTGACGCTCGAGCTGGCCAGTTTTCTGCACGCGCAAGTCAACTACGACATCTCCATCAGTTACGTTGGGTCTGTGAGCCGCTGGCCTAAGGGACTCTACAAGGCTTCCTACGAGCTCAGGAACGGGTCGGAAATGTGAGATAGGATGATACAGCGCTGTTCGACATTTCTTTTTTAAGCAGCGTTGCATTGTTTTCTAGAATACGATAGCAACTTAACACGACACCGTGTAGATGGATTGCAGTGACGTCAATGTAACCACCATGTTGAAGTATCAACATAGTGGCACGCAGAACCTGTAATTTTAATTTAATGTTGAATCAGTGAATAACACGTAGGTTTCTACTGTTATTTTGGCTAAAATGCAAAATAAGCAAAAAACGAAACGTTCTAGTGGCGTCGTGAAGACATTGAAGCAGGTTAAAAGCATCATGGTTATGCTGAATTGATGTCACCAAAGACGTCATGTTGGAGTACGAATTCGTTAAGAACTCACTTCAATGACGCCACGTGCATTTCATCATTGTCAACCTCAAATATATGCAAAGACATACACATGTGCACTTGGAAAAGTTAAAAAAATATAGATTCCCACCTCTCTTTCCTTGATTCTTTGCCTATTTTTATACACTTTTATTTTTATTATTTTACCTGTTGTCAAGATATACCAGCTAACGCAGCTGAACCTGAGACTTCACAAGCCTGCAGAGACTTCACTATTCATTTACACCCTTTCGGATGGCTTTATGATTAACATGTTAGCTAATATAAAAGAGTATATACAGCGGAATATATAGTACACCTCCCTAGAAGACATGCTTATTTGTGTCTCCGCCATGAAAACAAGCGTGCCGATGGTGTGTCAACGTTCTGGTTTCACTCTCTCCTTTTTATAACGTCCGTCTAGGTGGGTGCTTTTCACCCGCATGAGGCCGAGGTATGCCCGCCGCGTGTTCCCGTGCTTCGACGATCCTTCTTACCGGGCGACGTTCGACGTGGAGGTCTTGAGGCGCAAGGACTTCAACTCCATTTCCAGCATGCCCATATTGAAGATTGAAATGAGGTATACTTGGAGAACGGCACGTTCTGCGTGATTTTCTTTATATTTCTGATTCCCGGTCTGTGCGCTGCTCTGATCTACACTCTTAATCTTGTTCCACTTAGGTTCCAGATAAAGCAGTCGTTAACCAGAACAGACGAAGCTGTTCCTTCGGTATCGGCCTTTACTAACAAATTATGAGTAGGCTTTCAATAGACGTTGGCTCTAACAATTTGAAACACGGTAAACATTCGCTCTAAAAGCTGCCATGATAAGACGTAATTGTGGTTTTTTTTAATTGCGAAGACAATCTTCATTTATATGGGTAATTATGCGCTAACTATTTTTGGAGTAGAAACTGTCGAATGCGAACTACCTTAAATGTTAAAGTTGTCACTCAAATTTTTTAGACTGCTCAATCACGACACCAGACATTGAATTATCGCTAATAGCTATGAAATTCGGATCGGCTTCTTATGCATTTTGCTTATACAGGCGTAATGCCTAAAACGCACAGACAGCACATCTACAAGTGCCACTAGTTGGTACAAGTGCCACTATAGAAGTATACAAACGGGACGCACGCGCTCTCGCAAGAACGCTGATACCACTGAATGGGTTATCTTATCGAGCAATGCTCCTTTATCGCCGCAGTCCCAACCACAACGACTACGTGAACGACGTGTTCGTTCGCACCCCTCCGATTCCAACTTATATGTTGGGGTTCGCCGTCACCGACTTCACGTACATTGGCACCGAAACCGTAAGTCACTTCCCATATCCGTTTTGTAAACATGGAGGATTAAAATGTCAGGAACAGTGCTAGCCAACACTACTGGGGCATTGCAAAGGTTGTTCAACAGGGCGCATAGTTTTTTTTTTTTTTTTTGCAAAAAATATTACAGCGTCCACGGGGTCAAACACATTTTCTCATATCAACCCGACCCGAGACGCTTTCACCGCTCAAGACTCCCGAAATTTTTTTTTTGCCCCACGGACTTTCCTCGCAGAACATACAGCTTACGACACAAGCTAGACTTGCAGTTTTGTGTGCTGAGCTTTAAGGTTGTGTCTCAGGCTTTGTAAGCTGTGTGCGAGTGTGCCAGTGAGTAATAAAAAAAACGCGTAAAGAACTCTTATGCAATCATGGTCCGGGACTTCATATCCTTAAAGAAGCCCTTCAACACTCCACATAGTCACGGAATTGACACTAGAGATGAGTTTAAAGTATCGAGGGATGTTAGCGGCAGTCAGGCTACTTCATATCACATGGCTTTTAGCGAAACTTAACAACGCTACATTGCTTTTACAGCACTCTGTTGAGCACCATCGCATTGTGCTACAAATGCAAAAACTCAAATACGGTTTCTAATGGCGTAATTGGTCAAATGCTGCCTTCAACGTGAGCCTAACCTTTTATTTAAACTTGCTTTTCCTTCAATGCAATTGGTTAGAATTTATTCGCGAGATTTGGAAGTGGGTGTTCGTGCGGAATAGTATGCGATCTTGCACTATTTCCTGCAGTATCAAGCGATACGTTTGATTTGAGATGCTCGGGTTATTTCGTATGCACATTTATTGGGTAATCAGATTCTTGAAATTACTGACGAAATGCCACAGCCAATTTTTTTCCTCGAAGGTGTCATGTTTGCAGTATCTCTCACTAACGCTGCATGTAACTTAGCTTACCCAACACTTTAGCAACTCCCGCTACCAAGGTACACCAACGTGCTACTCCAAGAATTCCAATACTTTTCAGATCTTTAATATCTCGACAAATCTCTGCATGTGATTAGCGTACGTCACTGGTGCTATCGACGCCAACGGCTGTAATTTTTTTTTTCTTCTTTAGGTGAAAGTGTGGTCCGAGCCATCTTCTCTCACTCACGCGGAGGTCGTCTTGCAGACGGCCACCGCTGGCCTCCAGCTGTATGAGAAGTATTTTCGGACGCGCTACCCACTTCCTAAACTTGGTACGAAATTTTAAGTGGTGCAAGCCCAACTAACGACCATACCCATTCAGTACCTGTAACAAATCATTTGTACGTTTCATAACACGTCTCAACGAACCATCAACACCCGCATATTACATGTTTTTTTGAGTGCCAACATTATATCAAGCCGAGCACAACGATTTCACATGGGTTACTTCACGCGGCTTCATCTCTATCTACTTTATACGGCTGTCACAATAGTTGTTGCGTCACTCCGTTCTCCAACTTTCACTGTCGAGGACTCGCAGAATAACATAAAAATAGGCTATGAGTTGTTAGGTTATCAAACAATCGCACGGTGATTTCTTTTTATAAGAAGCAGTACATCATGTGAGAATTTTCTACGAAGAATATTGATTCTTGGTCTATTCACGTATCCGAAGCACCACGTTCTGATTGTATATACTATCGGCGCTTGGGTCGGGGCGTAACACATTTACCCGCAGTACTCCGTCTTTCAGAGAACGCTGGTTACTGCGGGTCACTCACTGGCGAGAGCATCTGTTGAGGCTTTCGCTCCCTCTACGCCGTCTTACTCGCAGCTCTTTCTTACGTCGTAAACGGAGGTTTACAACTATACCTCCTATGCCCTTGAATGCTGCCTTGAGGGAGCGGAATGCCCAATCGTGCTCTCTGTTGTTCTCTTCAACGTTTCACGAATCCATTTGCTAACGGAGCTGACAGTGTGAGGAGCGCCGCTAAATATAAAGAATATACATTTAACCATTCAGTACGCATTTGCTACATTGTCGCCAACATTGCTATTGTTGCTGTGGGGCAAGGAGTACGAGGATAAAAGTGCAGTGTATCGGCAGCCTCTAACGTGCATTGCATCTTGTAGTTGTATAGTGGATAAACACGCAAGAGCACCGAAATATCTATCAATGGCCACTAAGAATGAATGAAAGTCATTGATTGTCACCTATGTCTGTCACAGTTTCAATGACCATTATTTTTATTTTCACAAAGGGTTTATACGAAGCAACTATTATGTTTAAGTGTATCGCTAGTTTATGCTTCCGTACCACCACAAGAGGAGTCTTAGATAATAATACATAGAAAAAGAAGGCAGCAGTGTCGCCAAGCCAACATCTTCGCCATATTATCAACAACTCTGGTAATGTCTTTTTGACGGATCGAGCTTATTGGTAAATAATGACTAAATTATATTCTGAAACAGCCCAAGAGCCAACATAATAAAATTCAAGAAATGGTGCACCACAGAGGCCCAAGCTGCGAATGCATTGAAATTCATTTGTGTCACAGTGTTGAAAAAATTGCACTGAATATCCACCAACAATTGACAACGCGCATTCAGATTTAATTTCAGACATTATTAATCATCCATTTATCCCCCACTAAATGAAGTGACAATGATGTTTCGACGTGACACATAGCCCGGCAAAGCTGAGTTCGTGTTGATAGCTTGTGTCGTTTTCAAACTACCCTGGAGGTTCTTGTTCTCGTATTATTGTGGTGAAAAGTAATCCTCAGTTGTAGTGTTCTCTTTAATTTTTTTATTAGATATCATTGTAACGCCTGGTGGAGGAGAGCCCAGTGCAAGCGAGGGCATCGTGTTTTTCCCAAGTTCATACTTGACACGTCACAACGTTTCCTTGGATGCTAGAAAGCAAGCCGAATGGAACGTTTACAGGCACATCCTAAAGCAGGTGAGCGAGTATGTTGCCAGAAGGCTGTTGCAACTCGTGAAGCTGTTGATGCCGCCATATTTTATATGTTTACATAAAAGTTTAAACTTTGGATAAATAGAAAGAAATTGCAGCATATACAGCGTTACGCCGATGATCTATTACATTTACTTTAGGTGTACACTAGGCAAAGAAAACTCGCGCAAGCTGTAATCTGTCGTTGCCGTTAGTAGAAGCACAGTACAGCCAGCGACCATCCTACAGCTCTCTTGTGCAGAGAGAACGTACGCCGAACATTTTACAGTTACCTAACTGACAACGTATTTGGCTAATGTTGCATAGGTTTGCAATGCATGATGATTGGAGTGTGATGAACAGCTTAAAGTTTCATTGATTTCTTAAAACGTGTTGCAATTCCTTGTAATTATTAATTAGTTAACTAATTAAATATACTATTTATATCATCCGCGAACGCTCTTCTCTGCACTGCGCATTCGCCCGACCATGATGGTGGCACCCTTCAGGCTTCAACTGAATACGAGGTCCATGTTGCACGTGCTAGAAAATGTCTATTGTGCGTGTTTAGATGAAGAGAGCCGAAGTGTATTTTCGCGTCATAGGGTAAGCAAACTGTGCATGAACGCGCTGTTTTTAGCAGTGGCTAGCTGCCATTAGGTGTTCTAACTGCATCGTCGGAAAGCTAGCTTTAAAATTAGCTTTGCGAAAATAGCCGCGGGAAAAGCAGTGGGAAAATATTCTTGTCAGCGCACGTTTTCTTTTGTTGTCGTTTTGAAAAACAAAACGATGCACCCTCTAGCGAGTCGGCGAACGTTCAGTTTTGAGGCGTTATAGCTGCGCTATTGCTGATCCATTCGCGTTAACACACTTGGCTCCGTTCAGTGGATCGGAGGCCTTGTCAACTTCCATTCCTGGAGAGAGCTATGGTTGGAGGCTGCTCTCGAGGCGTACATACTGTACGCGCTGGCCAGAATGCAAAACACCAAGTTACCTGAGGTAAGCACAACGTTTTCACCAGTCCTCGAAAGTCCGCGTTCGTGTCATTTACTAATAGCAGATTCGACAGGACGCTGTGCCCTTCAAACACGCATTGCGACCATGCAGAGCCTGAAGTGGTGTCATTTAGGTATGGTCGAAAACCCTGAGCTCATCACATAAAAAAGCAGCATTCCGCAAAACATGCACATTTATAGATGCTCAATCCAACATGTACATTCGGAGAGTGTTACTTCAAAAGAAATATCAGTCATTCTTCAATGTCGGATATGAGAGCGTTTCCAAAAGCTCTGTGCTGAAGCGGGATATTCTGAAAGGACCCGGTGAATGTGTTTAGTTCGCTGTATTCCGGTGAACCAAATGTGTAAGAACTCGCTGGAGCGTCCGTAAATGACCACCTGATTGTACAGTAATATATACATGGATGATTGTGTATCCTGGGGTAGAACATAATCTGCTTCTGCTACGATCTGTAGAAGAATGGGATTGTAAGGGGGAAGGGGGGAGAAGACAGTGATACATTTAATGCTAGATAGTGGGAACTCCACTAAATTATGAAGAGAGGGAAGGCAATGAGGCTCTAGGCGCAAAGTGTGAGAATTGACTATTCTGTTTTATATACGTATTTCGTTCACTCAGAGCACATAGCGATTTTGCAGGACGATTCCTACCTTTCTCTTTCTCATTTGTCGGTTTCGCAGGGTTCGCAGTACACACCTAGACGACCGTTACGGGGGCGTAAAAATTAAGTTTTGTATTTGGGGACGGCGGTAGCGCCGAGAAACCAATACTTGATAGGGTTTTTCCAGCGGTACCAGAAGTACTGACGTACTCTGGTACAAAAGTTTGCTTCAACTTGTTCAAAACGATGCGACGAAGACTTCCGTAAACGTCATTTCAGGACGAAGACAGGCTGCAAATCAAGATGCAACAGATGCTAAGCCTGGAAGTGACTCAAGAGATCCCTGCCCTCTCCAGAGACGATTCCTTGCCGGATGCCGATACGAGCTTAGCCGCTCGCAAGGTGACCACGCATATCAAACGCCACTACAGAGCACTATCGCGAAACGTTGCTTGAGCGAAAAAGCTTATATCAACTTATGTGCTGACTTGTATTCCAGGGAGAGCTGTTGCTCCACATGTTCGACAGTGTGGTCGGTTCCGATAGCATTCGGAACGCTCTTCAGGTAACTAGCCTAACCCTACGTTATCTGATTCGCATTGTCACTGCCGGTGGTAACGAATCCACACGGCCATTTTGTTTGCAGGAGTTGATGGTGAAACGGAAAGCACGGAACTATAACGGAAGAAGACCTGTGGGAGGAACTTTCTAGTGTGAGTATCTTTATTACATTACGAACACAGCGTTAGTACATTATAAATCGTGATGTCAAAGGCACTGCTACAGGCGTAAATTGAAGTGTAAGGTTGAGTCTCTTAAGAATAAACCTGAAAGAACCCTCAGAATTTTCCAGTCGTACATGGAATCATATTAAAGGAGTGCATTATTCTTCACTACACAAACAGGTTCGCTACGCTCGTTCGCTATCCAGTCATTTGCGAGGGCTCTTTCATCGCGCAGGTGAACAACGAGAGCTTCGCTGGCGCTGTCGTGGCCCACGCGTGGACGCACAGCGCCGGATTTCCGTTGCTGACGATCAGTCGCGTCTACGGCCAGAGGGTCGTCATCGCACGCCAGGAAAGATACGGACAAAAGTATGGGCGCGCGTACGCCGCAATCGCTAGACTTCTCTTATTTTGTCAAACGACAGGTGGCGCCAGCAGGGCTCTGTATTCATCCAGAGTAACTGTGGTAACCAGCAGTGCACTGTATTCATCCAAGGAAGGCGGGTGTGTTTCAAAGGCCACGGGTTTCACAGTGCTCATGAGCTTTAACTAGTCATCAGTTCACATAGGCAAGATACGTTAAGAACATTGGTGGAACAAGACATTGGTACTAGGGGTAGAACAAGACAGTGGAACAGTGATGGAACAAGGGGTAATATTGCTAGAACAGCAGTCGTTACAGGCCTACATACCAGTGCATTATAAAAAAAATAGATGTTCATAGAAAAACAAATAAAGAAATTGGTTTCAAATCTGCATGTTACACCGCAAATTTCGTCGAAAGACGATAGTCTTGCGTATGGAGAGAGTGAACAAAACGTTTATTTCATGTTCGGCGCAAGAAAATCGCTGAATGGTATTCTGGAATGGTATTCTAGGCACTGCGTCAGAGTGCCTCGAGCGTGTAGCGGAGACGAACGAGCGCATCGTGGATGGATGGATGGATGGATGGATATGGCTGTACCCTTTAGATCGGGCGGTGGCTAGCGCCACCAAGCCGTAATATATAATGAACCAAAAACTATATTTATTTTTTTCCCTTAAAAAAGAGTTTGAGGATTCGTACTTTGCAGTGAAGAGTTTAATTTTCACTCGCGCCTTGACTTTAGCCAACAATCAGACAACCTCCTTCTAGTGAAGTCTACCCGCTTAAAGTTTATTTTGCCCTCCCGGTCCCTAAACCCCAGTGCTTTGAAAAACTCTGCGCATCATCCTGAACTATAGGGTGAAGCCCCTTTACAGAACATTATCAAGTGTTCGGCAGTTTCTTCTTCCTCTCCACACGCACTGCATACTGTGTCTACCCCTTCGTATTTGGCCCGATATGTCTTGGTTCGCAGTACTCCCGTTCTGGCCTCAAACAGTAGCGAACTACCCGAGTATTATCATAGATCCTTTCCTTGGCAATTTCCTGCTTAAACGTTCGATAGACCTCTAGTGCGGACTTCTTAATCATGCCCATTCTCCACATGTCAGTCTCCGTTTCCTTCACTTTCTTCTTAACCGATAGTTCTTTTTTGGTTTGGCCACCTGCTGTTTTCTAAGTATTACCAGTCAACTTCCTGGTTCGCTTCCTCCATTTTGTATCGACACTCTCCATGTACAAGTAGCTGAAAACCTTCCTAGCCCAACGCTCTTCCCCCATTTCTCTCAATCGCTTCTCAAATTTTATCTTGCTGCTAGCTTCCCTGCCCTCAAATGATGTCCATCCCATATCACCTTGTACTCCCTGATTTGGTGTATTCCCGTGAGCTCCTAAAGCAAGCCTACCTATTCCACGTTGCTTAATTTCTAATCTTGCTTGAACTTCTGATCTCATGCACAAGACCGCATTGCCGAACGTCAGCCCAGGAACCATGACCCCTTTCCATATTCCTCTCACAACATCATACCTATTGTAATTCCACAGTGCCCTATTTTTCATGACTGCTGCATTCCTGTTACCTTTAGTCGTCACGTATATTTCGTGTTCCCTCAGATACTCGGTCCCATTGCTTATCCATACGCCCAGATATTTGTATTTATCTGTTATCTCTAGCGTGACCTCCTGTATTCTAAGCTCACTACCTTCGTTGTCATTGAAAATCATGACTGCTGATTTTTCCTTACTGAAGCTGAAATCTAACCTATCTCCCTCATTACCGCAGATGTCCATCAATCTCTGCAAATCTTCCTTGTTGTTGGCCATTAGCACTATATCATCTGCATACATTAATGCTGGTAGTGCCTGATCAATAAGTTTTCCTTGTTTGACTAAAGAGAGGTTGAAGCCCAGTCCACTTCCCTCTAATTTTGCCTCTAATCCTTGTAGGTACATCATGAATAATAAGGGTGACAGGGGGCACCCTTGCCTAAGCCCCCGTTTTACCTCTGCAGGCTTCGATACCTCTTTTTCCCACTTTATAACTTCCTTGTTACCTTTATAGATACCCTTTAAAAGATTAGTGACTACATGTTCCACGCCTAGTGTGTCCAGTATTCTCCACAATTTCTCTTGAACCACGCTATCGTACGCTCCCTTGATATCCAAAAATGCTAGCCACAGGGGCCTGTGTTCCTTTTCTGCTATTTCGATGCACTGCGTCAGTGAGAACAGATTGTCTTCCAACCTCCTGTGTTTCCGAAATCCATTCTGCAGTTCCCCCAGCACCCCCTCATCCTCTATCCACGCCTGCAGTCTTTCCTTTATAATCTGCATCGCCAGCCTGTAGACCACTCATGTCACTGTTATAGGACGGTAGTTGTTTATGTCAGCTTTGTCCCCCTTTCCTTTATAGATCATGCTCATCCTGCTAAGTTTCCATCCATCGGGAACTTCACCATCGATTATTATTGTGCTCACTGCCTCTCTCAAAGCCTGCTGAGACTTCGGACCTAATGTCTTTATCAGCCTAATTGGAATGCCATCTGGGCCTGTTGATGTACTACTAGGAACCCTTTTCTCAGCCCTTACCCACTCTTGTTGTGAAAATGGAGCCATTGCACCACTTGATTCGTCCTTGTCTATTGTGGTGCATAAAGTACTTCTTTGTCGAAATTTTTCTGTCATTTTTGTTCTTATATATTCAATAGCTTCGTCCCCTTCTAGCCTAGCACCTTGGGCTGTAGTTATAAATCTCTGCTCTAGGCTCGTCTCATTTCTTAGGGTGTTTAGATGGTTCCAAAATTTCGCAGCTGCCTTTCTATCTTTTTTATGTACTTCTGCCAGCCACTGAGCTCCCTTCCTTCTAATCTTTTCATTGATCAGAAGGGATGCATCTCTTCTACAGCTTAGAAAGGTTGCCCATTTTCTTTCAACATCATCTGTTGGTTCACCCCGCTGCTTAGCATGTCTGTGTTCCCTAGAGGCTTCCTGACGTTTTGCTATGGCTATCTTAACTTCCTCATCCCACCAACTTTTGGGTTTGTGTCTTCTTTTCCGGGGTGACTTGTCACGCGTCTTAGCAAGCTAGGCATGTTAGGCACAAGCGCCATCTGGCAGTTATTTTCGAAAACGAAGGCGTGCAGCCTACGGAGAAAGACGCGCCATGCAGTCTCAGAGGTGATTAGGTGTAGAACGCAAAGCGACGGGCAGGTGTCACCACCGTGACGTCGTAGCAAAGCGTTGGAAACACCTTTTTGAGCATCG